CCAGAACTACAGGAAAGTTGACTGACTGGAAATTCTACAACGAGAAGCAAGGAGAAAACCAGAAGGAAGCGCGGAGGAGCTGGAAAAGCCCAAGGTACGGAGACACGCAGCGCGCGGAGAGGACGGAGCCGGAGAGGAGGGCGGCTGAGTGCCTGGCTGGCATTCCCCAGCGGGAAGGAGATAAAACTCCGACTGTGCTGGGCCCCCGACTGCTCTGAACCCAAGCCTAGGCCAGACCCCGGGGACCCAGGCTCACACAGAGGGAGCCGGGCTGTAAGGCGGAACCCGGGGAAGCGGCGAAAGGGGGTCCCGGCGGCGGCGCGCAGTGCGCTCAGAGAAGGGACGGCCGGCTGTGCCGCGGGATTGCCTGGCGGGAAGGAGACGGGTTCCAGTCTGCTCTGAACGCCACCTCCAACTCCACTTCCAACTGAACTGAGCCCCAATACCGGGCTCATTGGGGAGAGCACTGACTGTTTGGCAGCAGGCGAAAATTGAGGGCACCTTTCTCTCAGAGGCGCCGGCAGCAAGCACTGAAGGACCCGCATAGGGCGGGGCTGACGGAAGCCAAGGCTGCAGGCTCCACCCTGAAACCCCGCCCCATCTGTAACTGTGAAATGCGACAACGAAATAGATCACAAACGAAAGAAATGGAGGACAAAAAGCAACTGGATATAGAGTTCAAATCTATGCTTATAAGGTTTTTCAAGAGTTTCCTAGAAAAGATGGATAAGACCTATGAGGATATGAAAAGAAATCAACTAGAATTAATAAGGAATCAACAAGAAATGATAAGGGAACAACAAGAAATAAAGAATACATTGTCTGAAATAAAAAACATTTTACAGAGTCCTAAAAACAGAAGGGAAAATCGCAAGAATCAAGTCAAAGATTTGGAACATAAAGAGCCAGAAGACACTCCTTCACAGAAGCTAGAAGGCAAGAGAATCCAGAAAATTGAAGATAATGTAAGAAACCTCTGGGACAACTTCAAGCGAACCAACATCAGAATTATGGGGGTCCCAGAAGATGAGAGAGAGCAAGATATCGAAAACATACTGAAAGAAATAGTGACAGAAAACTTCCCCCACCTGGGGAAAGAATTAGACTTACAAGTCCAGGAAGCGCACAGAACTCCAAACAAAAGGAATCCAAAGAGGACCACACCAAGACAAATCATAATTAAAATTCCAAGAGCAAAAGACAAAGAGAGAATATTAAAAGAAGCAAGAGCAAAGAAGGTAGTTACCTATAAAGGATCACCTATACGATTGTCAGCTGACTTCTCAACAGAAACCATGCAGGCCAGACGGGAATGGCAAGAAATATTCAAGGTGATGAATAGTAAGAACCTACAGCCAAAGATAATCTATCCAGCAAAGCTATCACTCAGAATCGAAGGTCAGATAATGAGCTTCACTAATAAAAAAAAGCTAAAGGAGTTCATCAACACCAAACCAGACTTATATGAGTTGCTGAAGGGAGTTCTTTCAGAAGAGAAAGTAAACAAAGATAAAAATTATGAACAACAAATATGTAACTATCAACAAGTGAATCTAAAAACCAAGGAAATTAAAAAAAAAAATCTGATGAACAATAGTAACTGTTGAATATAATAGAATCAGAGGTATGGAAGGGGAGTGAACTGACGATTCTTGGGGAAAAGGGGAGAGGGGGGTGTGGGAAGAGACTGAACATAAACTGTGCACCCATGGATGAGGACAATGGGGAGTGGGGAAAGGGCAGAGGGTGGGGTGGGAACCTGGTGGAGGAGAGCAATAGTGGGGGGGTGGGGAAGGAACATTTGTAATAATATGAACAATAAAAATTTATTTTAAAAAAAAACAAAAAAAAAAACACCTCACAAATACCCGACAATAAAAGGCATAATGAATGCTTTACAAACATAGCTTTTCTTTTTCTTTTTTTCTCCCTTTTTTAAAAAAATATATTTTATTGATTTTTTACAGAGAGGAAGGGAGGGAGATAGAGAGCCAGAAATGTCGATGAGAGAGAAATATCGACCAGCCGCCTCCTGCACATCCCCTACCCGTACATGCCCTTGACCGGAATCGAACCCAGGACCTTTCAGTCTGCAGACCGACGCTCTACCACTGAGCCAAACCGGTTTTGGCACAAACATAGTTTTTCTAATGGAAGCTATTATTGACATTTATTTAAAAATTATTTAGCATAACATTAATTCATTTAAAAGGCTACCATTTAGAAATTGATTGATAGGGGAAAGGAGAAATGTATTCTTTGAATAAATTTGTTACTTTTCTAAATCATTTCTCCCGAGCTAAATAGATAATGTAAATATAAGCAAATAAAATAGTGAAGGGATATTTTCTGTGTAAAATGTAAGTTAAAAATTTAAAAGAACCTTTATTTCTTGTGACTAGGTGACAACCTTTATAATACTAAAAACCAAAAGTTTTAACATCCTTAACGCTGATGGTGTTTTTTAAAAAATGTGTTTTCAGAAAAGATTATCTTATTCCAAAGACAGGACAGACAGGTCTTCATGGAGGAACAAGTCACAGAGATCATTTTTGGTGACTGTTTTTCTAGATTTCCAAATAAGTTTGGGCTTCTCTGAATCAGGCATCACCAGTTTTGTGATGAGGCATCTGAAATTCTCACAAAATCTCTGCCCATTTCATCCTTCTCTTTCTCACAGGCCTCGCAGTTACCTATAGTGAAAAACAGCTGACCCTACCGAATTCCACAGTATTAAAATGTTATAATTTGTACTTATTGTGTCTCAGATATGCATTGGCATCAAACTAATTAAATAGCTAGAATAGTACAAGTGTTGATTCTTGAAAGTGCTGTGTAATAGCTTAGGACTTTTGGAGAAGAAATTAGGAATTACATGTCATTGTTTATTATCGGTGTGATTAAATAGCAGTGACAAAAACATGTAATTTTAGAGTGATGAAGTGACTCCAGTAGTATATAAATGATATAAGATGAATTTAATAGGGATAAATATTATGTGCTGTATTTAAGTTCTCATGACCCAGTGAAAGCTAATTAGGCGATGGTAGCTACAGAATTTCCCTTTAAGTTGGGTCTGTCTGGTGTTAAGGGCAAAAGTTACGAAGTGAAGCAAGCTGTATTAATTAGTTTCCATGGAGTAACCACCTCAGAGGTTAGTGGTTTAAAACAGTGATCATTTCTGGTGTCTCTGTTCTATTCCATTGACCTATATGTTGGTTCTTGTGCCAGGACCAGGCTGTTTTGATGCAATAGATTTGTAATATAATTTGATATCTGGTATTGTGATTCCTCTAATTTTGTCACTCTTTCTCAAGATTGCTATGGCTATTTAGGGTCTTTTTCTAGTCTATATATATTTTTGGTATATTTGTTTTAGATCTGTGAAATGTGCTCATGGTAATTTAAAAGGGATATATTGGAATCTGTAGATCGCTGTGGGTAATATGGACATTTTAATGATAATAATTTTTCCAACCCATGAACATGGTATATACTTAGACATGTTTTCTTTTTCCATGTCCTGTAGTTTTCTGAGTATAGGTCTTTTTCCTCCTTTGTTAAGTTTATTCCTAGGTATCTTATTTTTGTTGTTGTTGTTGTTGCAGTGGTAAATGGAGAGTTCATTATTGGTATACTAGAGGCTCAGTGTATGAAATTCATGCAATTAGTAGGGGGAAGTCCCTCAGCCCAGACTGTGCCCTCTCGCAGTTCAGAAGCCCTCAGGGGATGTCCAGTTGATGGTTTAGGCCCAAAGCAGGCCTATGCCGGGAGTCAGACATCCCACCACCACTGCACTCGCCAGCCATAAGCCCAGCTCAGGGCTTCTGGCTGAGCAGCGCTCAGCATATGGGAACACACTGTCCACCAGGGGGAAGCTCCTGCGTTGAGTGTCTGCCCCTGGTGGTCAGTGGGTGTCATAGCGACCGGTTGTTCCATAGTTTGGTCAATTTGCATATTAGCCTTTTATTATATAGGATAAAAATGCCATTGATTTCAGGATGTTAAATTTGTATCCAGCTACTTTGCTAAATTATTTATTAAATCTAGTAGGTTTTTGGTGGAGTGTTTAGGGTTTTCTATATACAATATCATATCATCTGTGAATAATAACAGTTTTACTTCCAGCTTTCCAATTAGAATGCATTTTATTTTTTATTTTTCTGCTTCCTCTGGCTAGAACTTCTAGCACTGTGTAGAATAAAAGTGGTGAAAACAGCCAAGACCGGTTTGGCTCAATGGATAGAGCGTCGGCTTGGGGACTGAAGGGTCCCGGGTTCGATTCCGGTCAAGGGCATGTACCTTGGTTGCAGGCATATCTCCAGTGGGGGGAGTGCAAGAGGCAGCTGATCGATGACTCTCTCTCATCGATGTTTCTAACTCTCTATCTCTCTCCCTTCTCTGTACAAAAATCAATAAAATATATTTAAAAAAAAAAAAAAGTGGTGAAAACAGACATCCCTGTCTTGTAAGTGTCTTAAGAGAAATGCTCTTAGTTTTGCCCAGTGAAGTATGATGACTAGGTTTTCTCTATTCCCACTTTACTGAGAGTTTTTATCAAAAATGGGTGCTGGGTTTTGTCCGATGGAGAACTGAAGTTTTTTTTTAAAACAGAAACATTTTTTCCATGAACTGAGGTATGAATGTACAATGAGGTATCACTTCACACCTGCCAGAATGGCTCCCATCAATAAATCAACAAATGACAAGTGCTGGTGAGGATGTGGAGATAAGAGAACCCTAGTACACTGCTGGTGGGAATGCAGACTGATGTAGCCATTGTGCCTCACCAACCAGGCATTCTGATGGTTCTCTCTCATCATTGATGTCTCTACCTCTCTCTCCCTCTTTCTTCTTCTTTCTTCTTTCTTTTTAATGTATTTTTTAAAAATTATATGAAGAGTAAATTATAAATGCAAATATTTTATTTTTTTACTGCAAGTAATCAACAATTTTAAATACAGTTATTTGGAATTATAAGTTTGAACGTCTGTTTCTAGGAGCTCTGCCAGTGCCGACCTGGAGAAGGAAATTGTTCCTGCTGCAAGGAGTGTATGCTGTGTCTCGGGACCCTCTGGGATGAGTGCTGTGACTGTGTTGGTAAGTTGACATGAAGTAAAGTTTCTTAATATTTCTTATCTGAGAGTCGTCCTGACTGCAAGCGATTTTAAATGTATAGATGAGGATGTGAATAAGATATAATGGATAGCCCTTACTGGTGGTTCAGTTGGTTGAGCATCCGTCCCATGCACCAAAAGGCCAGAGCACATGCCCAGGTTGCAGGCTCAATCTCCAGTGAGGGGCTTGCAGGAGGCAGCCAAATTGTGTTTCTCTCTCACATCGATGTTTCTCTCTGCCTCTCCCTCTCTCTCTCAAATCAGTAAAAACAATTAAAAAAAAAAAACATTAAGTAAGAACATTATTTTATATTACATTTTCTTTATTCAATGGTATTTACATATAGGGTGGGGCAAAAATAAGTTTATAGTTGTGAGTACATAGAGTTTATTCTTGTACTATTTTTATTATTTATCATATGAACAACTGTAAACCTACTTTGCCTTACCCTGTTTATCTGTATTTTTATAGAAAATGGTCTTAGAGGAAATTTTAAAAAGTGCTTATTCTTAGGAAGTAGGAGTGGAGAAAAAAAAAAAAAACAGGATTTTTTTTTTTTTTTACTTTTTAATTTTTTTACACTGTTGAATTTTTTATAAGAAGCATGTCTTATAGTTGTAAATAAAGAATAAGTACTTAGCATATTAAAAATATATAGATTATCTTCCTTTATATAAGATTTCATTAAAAGATTCTTCAGAAACTAAAATCTGTTTTTAAGGTTTTCTGAGGAATAGTCTACATAGTGTATTAAATAAAAAAAAAAATAGCAAGTTGCAAAAGTGTTTATGGAATGCTATCATTTGTAGTTCGGTTGGTTTGTTTGTTTTAGAAAATAACGTGTGTGTGTGTGTGTGTGTGTGTGTGTGTGTGTGTGTTAACTATGGCACAGTGGTAACAGTGCCATTCAGCTTCTGGGAAAGGAGGTCTGTAATTGTAATACTGAGTAAGAATAATGATACATGCTCATATCTCTACAATTTTAGAAGCAACTTGTGTTTCTCTGGGCTAGTTACCATTAAAAAATTATTGTCCTTTAAGGATTGTATACCAATTTTGAGTGAGTTTATAATGTAACTTAATCTTTCATTTTAAATTCAGTTAATCTTTCTATTTTCTAAGATAAAATGTAGATATTTCAGTTTCTTTTGTACAGCAATTCTCTTTTCCTTGTAGGCACTTCTCTTCCAGTTTAGGCTTTTTTGATGTCCTTTGCAAGCCTGTGACCACTCCTCCCTTCTCAGTTGAAACACTCCCCATACTTTTCATGGGTGGTGCACAGACCTCTGAAAGGGCCCAAATTAGAAGGCAGCCTTCCCTTCCTGTCTAATTCTGGACTTTTAGCTCAGACGCAGTCTACCAAGCTTTGTCCTCGAACTGTCTTATATAAGAAAATTAGTTTCTCTTTTCTGACTTCGTCTTAAGGCAAGAGTAACCACTAGAGCTGGTTTTCATCCCTCCCATCCATGGCTTTTGGAACCTAGATCTCTTCCACAAGATGTTTGGTTGTTTTGGTTTTGTTTGTTTTGTTTTGGTGGAAAATGGGGACATCTGTAATAATGTAAACAATAAAGATAAAGTTAAAAGAGAGAGAACGAAATAGTGTCAGAATTCTGTGTACTGAAAGGATTTGAAATGCTTGCCTTGTCAACTGTTGCCATCTGTTTCCCGATTTTTTGGCCTCCCTGACAGTCATATACAGAGCCACTTTCTTGAAACTTTTTAGTATAATTAGTATTTAAATGTTTTTGTTGTGAGAAAATGCCACAAAGTGACAAACTATTTCAAGAAAATGATCATGAAAAGAAAGGAGAGCTCCAAAAATAAACTCTAGTTAAAGGAAAGCCCTGTCATAGTGATAAACTCCAGGATAACGGTGAGATGCTTCTCAGAAAGGTTTTTATTAACTGATTTAAACTATGGTGGTTAGCAACTCTCCACAGATTTGACCCATTGTACATAATGAATATGGACAACTAAAGAATCTACAGAAATTTTAAAAGATGACTCCTCCCTCCAGTAGGATAGCCCCCACAAAAAAATACAGAACTTGAAGAGTGCTGTAGGCAGGAAATGGAGGGTCCCACAGAAAACTATTACCTGGCAAGCATTTGCTTCATGCTTATAGGTGTTTTTTGCTGTTATTTTTAAATATATTTTATTGATTTTTTTTTTTTTTTACAGAGAGGAAGGGAGAAGGATAGAGAGAAACATCGATCACCTGCCTCCTGAACATCTCCTACTGGGGATGTGCCTGCAACCAATTCTGTGACCGAAATCAAACCTGGGACCCTTTAGTCTACAGACCGATGCCCTATCCACTGAACCAAACCATGCTTATAGGTTTTAATGCAGTGTATTGAGAGTTAAATTAGAATTGTTTTTTTTTAATCTAAGTTTATTAAATGCATAAAACTCCAAAACAGTGTTTTGTTTTGTTTTTAATGCAATGAAATCTGTAATGATCACTGGAGTTTCTTTAAAGTCTCAGTAGCCCTAGCTGATGTGGCTCAGTGGATAGAGTGTCAGCCTGAGGACTGAAGGATCCCACGTTCGATACCGGTCAAGGGCACACACCCAGGTTGTGGGCTTGATCCCCAGTGTGGGATATGCAGGAGGCAGCCAATCAATGATTCTCTTTCATCGTTGATATTTCTATCTCTCTTTCCCTCTCCGTCTCTGAAATCAATAAAGATATATTTTAAAAAAATAAAGTCTCAGTAGATGTTGAGTTTAATTCTTCTGTTGAACTAAGTTGTTCGCCTTTTTATCTATGATTACTGATTTTCATTAATTATAGAATCTGAAAGAATATACCAAGTACATTTATATAAACAAATATTCTGAGTATTATTCAAATTATTATCAGAGAAGTGAAAATGAACTCAGACTGCATCATAATCTTGGCTCTAGTCCTAGATTATATAACATTGGACAAACCATTTAATTAATGTGGCATATTTCCTCCTTTATAATCAAAGGAGTCATATTTGATCATTTAATCCATGACTCTGTCACACAACCTAAATCATAAAAGTTCAGGCATATTGAAAGATTTTATAAAGAGCATGCACACAACCTTATAATCCTCAGTTCTGGCATGTTCCTTAAACTAAAAAAAATGTGGAAAACTCATGAAATGGTTTTTCCTTTTAAGTTTATAAAATATAGGAATTTATAAATTTCATCTAACTTTTCAAACTTTTAATCTGGGAAAGAAGAAAAACTCCACTTTTGACCTAATAGATGCTAAATAAGAATGAAACCTAATTTAGTCTTTAAAAGTATAACATTGTCTGGACTATGTGGCTAGGTTGGGCATTGGTTCCCAGTACGATTCTTGGTCAGGGTTCATTCCAGGATTGCAGGCTTCATCAGTAGTGGGGGGTGCAGGAGGTAGCTGATAGATGTTTTGCACTCAGTTCGATTTTTATCTCTCCCCTCCCTTCCTTTCTTTAAAAATCAATTTTTAAAATATATTTTATTGATTTTTTACAGAGAGGAAGAGAGAGGGATAGAGAGTTAGAAACATCGATGACAGAGAATCATCGACCAGCTGCCTCTTGCACACCCTTTACTGGGGATGTGCCCGCAACCAATGTACATGCCCTTGACCGGAATCCAACCCAGGACCTTTCAGTCCACAGGCTGATGCTCTATCCACTGAGCTAAACTGGTTTTGGCTTAAAAATCAATTTTAAAAAATCTTTTTAAAAAACAATATAATATTCACAAAAGGAAGTCCAGAGAACTCTGTTCAATGTTATTGCTACTATACACAACCTACCCCAAAACATAGTGGGTTACAATAATAATAATAGTAATAATAATAATAATAATAACTTAATTAGCTCCCGAACCTGCATTTTGGGCATGGTTCTTTGGGGTAGCTCTTTTCTACTACACATAGTGTCAGCTGGGACAGCTCGAAAGCAGGGTTTGATTAAGCAGCTCTCTCTTTTATAAACAAAATTCCTCTAAAAAGTTTCTGTGGTCACCATTTCCTATTCTTTTCTGCCATTTTCTCTTTTTAAAAATGCTTTTTTAAAGAAGTTATTTTGAGATAATTTCAAATGTATAAAAAAATTGCCAGAAGGGTAAAAGGACTCTCCCCCTCAGCCTGATTTCCCAGTTATTAACATTAACGAATTTGCTCCATGACTTAGTACCCCTGACTCTCTCCCTTTCCCTGCACACACTCACGCATACACATTTATGGGCACACACCCTCATGATCATTCATCTCTTTTGAAAGTTTGGAAAGCAGGTTGACAGATTATGTCCCATCATTACTAAATACTCCCAACAACAAGGATATTCTCCTATGTAACTAGCATATAACCCTCCCAATCACAAACCCCACTTATATTTTGCCAACTGTTTCAACAGTATCTCTTGTTCCCTTCTGGTCCAGGATTTTATTTATTTAGTTGTCCTATCTCTTCAGACTTATTCAACTGAAACAACCATGGTGGTTTAATGGCTACAGACTTTATGTTACGTAGGATGATCCTCAGTTTTGATCCACCTAATGTTGGCTGATGATCATACTATATAAGTCACACATTCTTGGCAACAGTGTCACTGAAATGAAACTTTGCAGGACATTAAGGGACACACAACATCAAACTGTCCTATAACTGACGATGCTAACCTTCATCTCCTGGTTACACTAGTGGCTGCCAGATTTTTCCACATTCATTAACCCCTTTGTAATGGATTAGTATTGTGTAGAGAGAGTACATCAATATGTTCCTCATCAAACCTCCACCCACTAGCCTTACCATCCATTGACAACTTCCACCTGAATCATACACTTCTGTGATGGTCGCCAGGATTTTCTATTTCCTTCATTCCTTCTACATTTATCAGTTGGCACTCAAGTACAAGGAAGAGCTTTCCATTCTCCTCCATGTCCTCATTCACGTATTTATAATATAAAGACTCATCAATTTCTGTTTTATTCCCGAAGTGGTAATCCACTTCTGTCTTTACTTATTTTAGTGATAATGTATCGATTTGGCCAGTGGGGTAGCCCCTTCTGGTTGCCTTCTGTGTTTTTTAACACGTCCCACCCTTCTTTACTTTCTGGCGTGCAAAGGGCCATTTTGTACTTTCCAGGATCCATCCCTAGAATCATTCTCTTCTCCAAGGACTTCTGGCTCCTCTTAGTGGAGGATGGGTTCTTAGAAAACAGTGTGGGCACTCCGTGTGCTTGATGATCCTGATGTTCATCTCTTCAAGTTCCTCTCAACAGCAACAAAAGCTAGAAAAATAACTATAATGCTAGACGACACATAATTTTAATATGTTGGGGCTTTGATTCCAGGGTAATTAACGGGTTCATGACATTACAATTAGTGAAAAGAGTGAACTTATTATCCTCTTTGCCCTCGCACCCGCAGGTATGTGTAATCCTCGAAATTACAGTGACACGCCTCCCACTTCGAAGAGCACAGTGGAGGAGCTTCATGAGCCGATCCCCTCTCTCTTCCGGGCGCTCACCGAGGGAGACACGCAGTTGAACTGGAACATCGTTTCCTTCCCTGTTGCTGAAGAACTGTCACATCATGAGAATCTGGTTTCATTTTTAGAGACTGTAAACCAGCCACACCATCAAAATGTGTCCGTTCCCAGCAATAATGTCCACGCACCTTATTCCAGTGACAAAGGTAGTTATGGCCAACAGTTGACTTTTTCTAAACTGCCCCCTCACTTTCTCTGTGGTCTGTGAAGCCTATATGAAGGTTATCTGTTTCAGGTAGTTTTTTGGTTTTGAGTTTGTATACTCTTAACTCTGGATTTTAACAATCCCACATCCCTGAGTAGATAAGGAGGCATGTCAAGCATATTGTCACAAGTCCTTCATACTCGCAGTGGTAGAGGCTATAGTAGGAGATAGATACATGGTCCTAATTTTGATGTGTGTGTTAGATTTTCTTTGTTTTTTTCATAAGATAGTAACAGAGCTGCTTGCTTACTACAGTATTGCTCACCATCTGGTAACATTCGAACTGTCCTTAGAAATCAGGTTTTCATGATAGCCTTGGTACCACAGATGATGCCAGGTTAGCAGCTAAATTTCCAGGTATAAATTAACCACATCCAATTCTCCGTGAGTAATATTGGTCAGAAGGGAAACTAAAGGAAAGAATGACATACACAACTTTGAGAAACATATTGAAGAACATTTGTTAGGATAGGTCATACTTTTATTTTGGAATGGAAAAGGCATGTAACTTTTAAAATCTATGATATTTTCAAATAAAGTTTTACAGTTTTATTGTAGAAGAATAAGGCAGTTATGAGAATTGCAGTCATTTCTCAAACTATGAGGTGAAATTATGCATAAACAGTATAATTTGTACTCTTTTTTTTTTTGTGTGTGTGTGTGTGCCTTCCATTTCAATCCTACCTGTCTAAAATAGTACAAACTTTGGCCATTGTTAGTAAAGACAAAACAGCTGATGTTAATCATACACAAAGAATTCTTATTTCCTTTCATGTTGAAGTACTCCATAAGACAAATTCTTATAGAAGATGTCATAAATGAATGGAATGTGTCTTGCTACCATTTTCCCCATGATTATAATGTAAATAATCAACATAATAGATATTAAATAATAATCATGAAATTTTCCCAAAGATTATTTCAATTCATGAAATATAATCAGGAAGGTTATTATCCTTCAAGACAGAGCTCAGTCTCTCCTCTGTGACACCTTCCCTGGATGCCCGTCCCCACAGGTAGAGCCACTTCCTACTCCCACATCTACAGTGTGATTTGTTGTCTGTTAACTTATAGGTCTGACAATTTCTACTTAGTTCCTTGAATTCTCGGATTACTCTGTGATTCCCTCATAGCTATTCCCTAGAAGATACTCAATAAATAATAGTAGAATAAGTAACGAAGTGAGTTTGGTAGGTACCAATCACTTGGAGATTTAAATGTTCCCTCACCCACCTGGCTCACTGGTGACCCCTGTAGTTTGCCTGGCATAGCCCTTAGTTTCCCTGTGTAAGCAGACGCCATCCTCTACCCACTGCAGCGGACTCGCCTCACTCCGCCCCTGTGCGCACTGCTCTCCTCTCCCGTGACTTTCCTTATTGTGTTACGTGGCAGCTTTGCTTTTAATTCTTCCTAACACAAGCCCAGCTTTTTGTTATTAAGCCTTCCCTTATTATTCAGACCTCTGGTGATTTATCTGTCCTATAAATGGCTCTGTGAAATAACCTAGCCTTTACTCATATACTCTCTATCAATGGTTTCTATTGTCCTGTATGTATGTATGTATGTATGTATGTATGTATTTATTTATTTATTTATTTATTTCAGATAAATAAATCCTGCGAGCTAGGTAGTCATATGGGTCTAACCACCAGGAGAACTTAAACAATCAAAAGTGGTTCCTTGGAAAGTAGGACTAGAAAATGTTAATAGTAAGAAAAGTATTTTCTCTTTTTTTTCACTCTGCAATTCAACTTTTTTTTTTTAACAAAATCAGAATATGCACAACACATACAACAAGCAATTACTAAAGCTACAGTGACTTGAAGTTCAATCCTTACATTCAGCAAGTTTAAATCCATTTTTACATTTTTAAAAACCTTATAACTGAAAATATTGCTTACTGCTAGAACTTGCTCAGATGCTATTGCTGATTGTACAAGTCACTGATTATGTCAATATAACAAAGATAACCACATTTTTGAGGATTGCAATGTGCCATTTATTTAGTGGGGAAATACACACAACTAAACAAAACTCACACAACAAACATCTGAGAATCTGGATAATACATATCAATGTTTTGAAGTATTTCATTAATATCTTAAGACAAGTGTATCGAAACCTTGGCATGATTTAATTTCAAGTCAGTTTTGGTTTTACTAACATCAGAAAGTTATGATTATACTGCCAGTGCCCAGACTGTTTAATTTAACTTAAGAGTTTAATAGCTAATGCTGGATTGTACCAAGCATCGCTAGTCATTCATGATCATTTGAATTAAGTTTGTTTTATTTTATTATGAATTCTCTGTATAACTACAGAACAGTATTTTTCAAACCTCTTTTAGTTAGAAAATTCTCTCATAGGAAATCTTATCAGAAATGTCCAGTTTAAAAGGCACATGTTGTTAAGCCCAGTAATCTAACTTTCAGATCAAAGTCTGAAACCTAATAAAGTGTCTAAGTAAGCCCTTTGCATTCTTCAGCTGGGGTGAGAGAGATTGGCTTCCTTCTCCATGTAGTTAGCGAATGAGATCTTTTTTCCTATACTTCATCTGTTGTTCTGTGCAGACTAGCAATAAGAGAACTAAGATTAGACAACTTATCAATAATATCCAGCTAAGTACGAAAGCATTCTATTTCTTATTTCCTGCTCTAAAATCTTAATTTCTTTATTTTTCAGAGCACATGTGTACTGTGGTTTATTTTGATGACTGCATGTCCATACATCAGTGTAAGATATCCTGTGAGTCCATGGGGGCATCCAAATACCGCTGGTTCCATAACGCCTGCTGCGAGTGCATTGGTCCAGAATGTATTGACTATGGTAGTAAAACTGTCAAATGTATGAACTGCATGTTTTAAAGAAAGCAAAGAGGTGAAAACCAAAGCAATCGAGTCCAAAAGAAAGGTACGAAAAGCTCTTCACCGATGTCTGCTGGTTGTATCAGAATGCCAGCAGGTTAAGAAAGAAGATGTGAAGAATTCGGACTGAGTTGCTTTTAGAGTACTTCAAATTCGGCAATGTTTTAAATTGGGATAACTGCTCATAGTGATTTACTGTCCACCAGCAATAGGCCCTTTCTCCTGTTTGTTTCCCATTAGAATACTGGGGAATCTAAAGGGAAACGAACGTAAAGATACACGCTCAGCTTTGGTCACGTGAGAAACAGTTGCACGGAGGATGCTTGAAAGCTGAAGTTCTAACAGAAAGCCTGACGTCCTTTTCCGCTAACATGCCAAGCCCTCGTGTGGGAAGCGTTAGAGCCTGTGAGCGAAAGTTATGGTTTCTTCACGGACTGCTAGGACACTGAGATTTTATGGTTGTACGCCATTCTTTACTGTGCCTCGTTCATCTGTTCCAGAAATAGTATAGATATCCAAATGCATTCCCCTGAGAATTCATTAAAATCACCATAAGAAGCTTAATTGTAAACCTTTTTATGTTGGTTTTAGGAAGTAAATGCTTACTATGTTTTACAGTTTAAAATTCTTACTAATAGAATCCATCCTATAATACACATACTTTAGGGAAGGTGTTAGGGAAGGTTTCTCCTCCTCTTCCATCCTCCTGCCCAAAGTGCCGATGTACGCATTGTAGTAACGAAGAATATTTACCAAGAATTTCAGGGCACACCTAGGAAACCACAGTAACTATGCTGCTAGAATAAATCATTAGGAAGTTCAAGCATTTCTCTGACTTACGGTACCTGCGTAAAGAGATCAGACTCAGCGTAGAGCAGCAAAGAAACAACTTGTCCCTTGGACAGAAAAGGCAGAGATGAAAGGTGAAGCTGTGCGCAGGCAGAGCCTGAGCCCACGCCTCAGCACACACAGCCTCGCTCTGCTATGGATGAGTGATAGGAGGGCTAGAGCAGAGAACTCACTGGAAGGTCGAAGATACTGGGGATTCTAATGGGAAACAAACGTAAAACTATTTACATTAATTATTTTGTTACCTTGTAATCTTTTTTTTTAGGTTTATATCTAGATCAAATGTTTTATTAAATATCATACAGTAGGAGGTTAAGATTATGAAACAAACAAAATCTTTGTTCAAGATAACTAACTTCAAATACACTACAAACATTTTGTCAGCTTTTTATATAACGCTTCAATAAAGATAAGCTTAGCTACTATGTGCCCTTGCAATCTTCAAGCATCTAAAACATATTTATATTACAGAGATTCTTAACTTTATAAAGTTATTCATTTCTCAAACAGGACACATTTGAATTACACATAACTTTTTAGGAATACCTTTGGATGACTAAATATTTACTACATAAAAATAGATGATGCTGTTAGACACTTTGTTTTTGTATTAATTATCTGACCAGTAGTTAGTTGCAAGATCATATGTACTACTATGATGAACTATTCTCATAAAGTTAGAAGCCTTGATATCTTTTCGGCTCTTTCAGGTAATTCTGATGAATACTTAAGGTACTTTAGCTTTTTATAAAGTTGAAATTTAGATAATGAATGTTTTTTAATAGGAAGACATTGGGATATCCTTTTCTTTTACCTAGAATCCCTCTATTTAAAATGCCTTAAAACATTTTAGCTTCCTTTCTTCATTTAATACAATATAGGTGAAGGTTTTCTTGAACTTAAATGTTCAAGGAATCTGTAGCCTGTTGGATCATTCAACTTCGCAGTTTTTCAAAGTAATTTCATATTTATCTATGAATAGAAGAATACTTTTGAGTTTATTAACAACATGCTTAATGTTTTCATAAATACAGTAACAAACTTTTTAAAACTGCATTTTATCATCTTTTTCGATCTTCATCATTAAATTTGTAAATGTACTTTATCTTTTTCCCCTTACATTGGGAAGATAATTTCTTGACCCATATTATGTTTTAATTGATTTTTTTATATTCTCTTTCTCCCAATAGAAATTATCCCTAAATGTAATGCTTAATTTTTTCTTGTTTATGAAGGTGTTGAAACACAGAGTTCACCTGAAACACTCCATTTCAGGTTTTGAATAACAATATTTTTTTTTCAAATTAAAAATATAACATTTGGGAAGCAAGTTGCACCGCTAAAATGTAGACCTATTACCGTTCTAAGCACAATTCACTACCATACAGAAGCCCTGGCAAACAATTGTTTTTCTTTTAAATAAAAAATTAGGTTCTTACCATTTTTTGACTAGATTAAAAAACACTAAACTTTAAATCAGTAGGCATTATAAAAGCCACATATAAAAGGTTCTTTCCTATAGTAAAACATGTCCTTGCTAGCAGGTTTTTCTGCCCCATCTTCTTCTAATAACATCTAATTATTATTGAAACTATAGTGGCACCAAATCAAATGGTAATTCAAATAAAGTAAGTCTTTGTTTACATAGAATGCTGTAAAGGAGAGGCCTTTACTTAAAAATATGATTTCCAAGGTTTCAGAAAACAAAATTGATGAAATGTTAGACTATTTGAATCATTATTTATAAATCACAGTAGCATTAAAATGGAGAAAAGAAATGAAACTTCTGAAAAATGAGGTAAACATATAAATAAGCCACATATTTAAAGTTTGTTTTTTATTAAAGCTTCTTTGAATATTTTTAAGTCTATTCTGCATTCCCATGAGCCTATGTTTGTTGTATTTCATATGATCTACAACATATAAAATTATGTACTTTTTCCTTCGGTTGTCCCTATGAACAAAAAAGTATTTTAATAAAAAATTGAAACGAGTGTGTATATTTTGTAAACTTCAGCATAGAACATCAAAGTAAGTTTGAAGTTTCTGTCTAGTGAAATTATTGTTTAAGCATGTCCCTTCTCTGGATGTCCCTACAACTAAATTTGAACAAAGGGTCTGTAGCAGTGTGCACTCTGCTTTTCCAAAACATGCTTTATTCCAACACGGCGTAACCTTTGAAATGAAGAAATTAACTATTCTTTTTGCTCCGAAGGCCTTTGATGCCAGCTAGCCTCACACTGTCTGGTGGTGGGAAGGTCCCGCAGGAAAACAGCTCCCCTCTCCCGTGGTAGTCCTCGCAGGGTGATGTTAGAATTGGCCATTTCACAGAATCCATATTTTGACAGCCTAATGGATGGGGGATCTAGGGACCAAAAGATTCAAGAAGACAAGATTACCAGCCTGAGTGACTTGAGGGTGTGACAGATCTGGCGAACTTGGGGGTGTAGAATAATTTCAAGAAAGATAGTGCATTTGGTCAGGAAAGCTGTTTTATCACTGAGGGTGTCCCATGGCAGTTTGTCTGTGGAGCCGGGAGGCTGAGGGTCACCTGGAGTTGCAGAGTTGAGAGGGAGTATCTCCAAGCTTGAAAAGTCAGCAGGACCCGAAGGGCCAGACAGGTGCACTGGCCAAAGCCACGCCTGGTGTGTTTTCAGTTTCTGAGCTGCCAGACACGCCCTTAGCTGTGGGTGTCAGGCGTGATGACTCAGACGTTTAGATTCTTCCTAACCAATAAAAAAATAAATTCATCTCACATTATTTTACTTTGAACTCTGTGCTGGAAGGATGGAGTCAGCAATAATTCTAAGGTCTTTTGAGATGAGAATTCTCAGTGCAGAAGCAAAGCGAAGAAAGATTTCTGCCCTCCCACACTGGCACTGTGACTCAGAGTGCTGCCAGGGAAGGTGCAGCGCCCTCACCCCACCCCCAGTCACAGGGACAGAAATCCCCTCCGAAGTTAGACACAGTCACCACTGACAAAGCTTTAGGGCAGAAGCTGTGTTTCCGACCCTCCTTACCTCTACTCCACGCTGCAGCAGAGTGATCGGTCTAAAACACGGGAGCAGGCAGTACTGCCCCTACCCGGTTTCAGTTGGAGCAACTAGCAAGGCCTTTTTGCTCCTTTACCTCAGAGGGTTTGAGTTGCCCAGTAGGAAGTAGGAGCAGCACAGACAACCTGCCTTTTGGTGTGTTTAAAAAAATGAAAATTGGTTAACTGCAAATAAACTAGACTCAAATTTAATGTACAAAAAAAAAAAGTGTAAATCATATAAACACTGCAAGTAAAAGAGGAAAAATATATATATATTTTTTTATTTATTTATTTATTTATTTTTTTAAATTTTAGAGAGGAAGAGAGAAACATCAGTGATAAAAGATAATCCGTTGGCTCCTCCCCTCCCCCACTGGAGATCAAGCCCACAGCCCAGGCATGTACCGTGACCTCCTGGTTCATAGGGGGACACAGCCACTGAGCCACGCCTTTTGTTTTCCAGAAGCCTCGCCTGCTCTAAGGAATTTGGCTGGAGCAGGGAGAGTGTGAGTGCTTTGGGGGCCCTGAGAGAGAAAACTGGAAGTAGCGTGGGTCTCCCAAACCCTGCAGCCTGCCCCAGCTCACCGTGCCCTAGAAGAGGCTAAAGTTCTAAGACTTGCCCAGCAGCTCAGGAGAAGGCCTGGGTCCTGCACCTACAGTTGCCTTTTTGCTAGAGGTTTCAACTTATGAATATTAGCAGCTCAGCTCAGCCCTCATTGTCCAGAGCCCCCAAACTCGTAGGATTATGTGAGACCCCAGCGAGATATGTAACAGATCCTCTCTCGTGGCAGACACTGGATGAGGTGGTGCTCAGAGTCCGTCTGTAAGTTAAAGAAAATGATGAGGTGTGAAGTGTTGCACCCTTGGGTTTGCAGAATGGCAGCTCTGTTCCCAGCCTCCTCATCTCACACCACCCTCTCTCTCGTTCCCTCCGTCCGTCCGCCTTCGTCTGGCTGTGCCCTTCTGCAGCACACCGAGTTCATTCCGCCCTGGGGTTTTGCATGAGTCGAGTCGTTACCTCTGCTCTGCCTGCTTTTTATACAGATTTTGGTTTCTTGTTCTTATTCAGGTCTCAGCCCAAATATTTCCACCACCATTTCTAAAGTAGCTGCCCCCC